TTCTGTGTTTTCTGTTTTCTTGTTGTGACCACCGTGGAGCAGTTTCATTTGGAAGAGGACTTGTCAAGATACTGGCCACCTAGAAGATCCAAGTGAAGCCGCCCTGGGCCACCGGATGAAGGGACTTGTATACAGTACCGAGTACTATTTTGTATACGTACTTACAATTAAGGAAGATGTTATTTTGATGTGATTGAAACAGGTTCTATCTATTTCATTCTATTGTATACTATCTATCTATATATATATATATTACCAACAAAAAGTCTACTGTAGACCGGACATGCTGGGAACGCCCTTGTCCCACCCACCCTACTGCAGCTTTGTGGCGGGTTACATGTTCTTCTGGCGCTCCAAACAGCCCTTGGTCCCTCAAAACCTAGGGATTTGAGACCACAGACCCCCGTCCATTTGAGGCCTCCAGGGTCGCGTTGCGTGGCGTTTGAGCGTGAAGCGTCGAGTCAGATGGGTCGCCGCCCAGGAGATGGTGCGATGGAAGGTCGATGCTCGGAAGTTGGACTCCCAGGAGAAGCAGCGCCTGGGCCGCGAAAGGACGCCACGGGGCGCGAAAGGTGGACCGGAAGGCCCTCGAGGGCCGAGGAGGACCGAGGAACCCGCCGCACCGGCCGCACCAGCCGTGCCAGGAGGAGTTCGGCTTATTTTCAGGTGTGCTCACCGTCCCTTCGGCCGGCGTTCGAAAGCTCAAACGTCCCAAGCTGCTCCAGAGGTTGGTGAGAAACTCCCAGAGCCCTGAGCCCGAGGATTCGGGTAGTTCGGGTTGCATCGAGACGCCAGGAACGTCACAGAACGTCACACCTTGGGACGAAGCGTGCCTGCCAACAGGGTTGGGGGACCACCTTTGGACGAGCCAGGAGACCTCTCCTTCTTGTAGACCTACCAGGAAACAACAGGAATTCGTTGTTTCACAGAACACCTGTTTGGTAGAACGCTTTTGGCAGTTCAACACCAACCCGAAAGCTATGGATCGATGTTAAATGGACGCGCGATGAACAAAATGGAACCGTGTGACCGTGTGTTAAAACTCCGTGTGTTCAATTCCGGCAGGCTTCGACCAGGAGTGTTCTTATGTATATATATGAATATTATTATATGTGTTATTTATACTGTGTTTTTGGTTAATTAATACATAATAAATTAACACACGGTGTACACTTCTTATTGACCGATGGCGATGCATTGATTTATTCCTCTCAAGTGCCAAAAGTATCCAAAAGTGATGCCTGGTCTGAAGCGTTTCGTTGACTGGAGTCCATCTGGAGTTTATTGAGTCTTTCTTCACGTCAAGAGTGAAGAGAGTGAGGGAAAGCACTGCTCATGCGTCGCATCATGCGAACGAAAAAAAGGTTCGGAACTTGTCGTTTGCTAGGCCGTGAACGACTCGACTAGACCAGAAAGAACAACAGGCAGGCAATGCCCGGTCTTCGCATGCGTCGTACTATTTGACCAACCCTTCCTAACTGCGCCCGGATTCTCGCCTCACCGCAGCGGAGCGCTGCGCGTCGGTGTTCGTCCGTTCGTGGGCTCCGGGCATCTGCCGCTCAGGATCTTATCACCTGAGTTTGAGCTTCAACTCCCAGGCACGGTCCCCCTCCGCTCGGGGGCACGAATCCGCGCGCCTCGGGCATCGAGCACGTATCCTGGGTATTCCTGGGTCATATCAGGTGATATCCGATCCATTGGTACATACTAGTAAAATATTCTATACCCCGCCCAAACCCGTTCGAGGTGTATATAACCTCGTCAAGAGGTGATACAATGTCCAAAAGCCGGACGGAAGGTCCTGGTAGCATTTCAAAGCAAAAGTTGGGTACGATGACCCCTCACAGCTGTGGGAGTGGACCCTGATCCGATGCTCACATGGAGTGGGCGGGCTGCCATCGTGGATAAACCATCTTCAGAGAGTGGTCCGACTGGCCCACCCACCACATCACAGGGTAGAAGACATGTGGGGATCTTCCAACGATGCCACATATATGAGCTTATTGCAGGGATTGTTCGATAGCAAGTCAGACTGCTGTTGATGACTTGGATTGTTGTAGAGGATCTGGTCATGCAGAAGCATTGTTCACATACTGAAGTCAAGGACCAGGTTTTGCTGGGTCAGACTGGACTGGACTTGTAGGGTACTGAAAACTGCTGTAGGTGCTAAGGATCAGGTACTGGGTCAGGTACTGCTGTAGCTGCCATGCTCCGAAGACTAGGTGGTGGTTTCAGATGTTTGTTTCTGTTCCACGCCTTTACTTGGGATGATTTTTCACAAGTCCTCATATGATCTCATATGTGTTCGTGACATGTGTTCGCACACCGTCACAGAAGAAGACGCCTACCTGGCGCGTTACTGGTGAGATACCGGGCACGCCTCTGAGCCTTGCTCCTGTGAGGCCTGGGCTTGAAGCCTTTCCGGATCATGCGACTTGGAGAAGCAATTCCGTTTTGGTGAGGAAAACACATGAACTCAGTTTGGGTGAATGAGCTGGAAAAGACCTACATTCACAAAATGTCTCTGATGACGCCATCAAACGAACGAGGATCATGTAAATTTTGTTAAAAGATAATTTGATCCAATCAGAATCAAATTGATGACTCACGACCGACCATCACTTACAAACCATTGCGCCATCGTAGCCAGCTTTGATTTCTTGTGTGATGACAAACCGTCCGAGTCCCTAAAGATTGTGACCGAGATGCTTGGAGAAGCCCTCAAGGGGGTGTGAAGTCCCCAGCATGTTCCAAGGTAGGTCTACACTGTCTACACTCCCTGGAACTAACATATGGCATTGCATCATGGCATGGCCCGGAAAGGAAAACCATGGTATACCTTTACCAACAGGGGGCTTCCCCCCTTCCATGTTAGTTCCAAGGTAGACCTGGAGAGATCTTTTGTTTAGCCGGACACATTGCAGGGTATCACCTGTGCACGAATTTCCGAGGATCTTAGCCAAGGAGACCAAAGGCAAAGGCGGGCGTCGTTCGGGGAATTATTTTTTTGTGGAGCTACGGTCTGTCCTCTTCAAGCGGGTCCTTAAGGTATATAGCTACCTTGGGGCTGAATGAAGTGGTGAAGCGGGTCCTTCAACGTGTTGTGATCTGTATTTTTTTAGTGCCGTCCGATTAGGGGTGGTCTTCCCAGACACCATCAGACACCGAAAGCAAAAGGCACATGGCTGCTATTCTGAGCCTATTTGTCGGGATCCACAGGACTAGACTAGAGCCCCTGGCTGCTTTCTAAGCCCCTTGGTCCTTCGATGCCATCAGTGAAGATGCCAACCATAAAACGGACTATCAAAGACATCGTTCAACGCAAGCAGCCCATAAAAGGTCAACTTCTTCAGGAAACTTCACTTGAACCACTCCTCGATCCTGGATTTCATTGTAATTGGGGGTGTTGGCCGTGTCAACGCCTCTCACCCACATCTAAAAATAGCACCAACCCCTCGATCTGGTACTCGCAACTCCTCGATCCGCAAGCTCCCCGCGATCCGCCAGCTCCCCGCGGCCGCCAGGTGGCCGCGGCTTCGTCAAGGCCGGAGGCAAGGGGCGCCTCTTCGTGAAGTGCGAGACCTCCTCGCTGCTCGACCGACGAAGTTGGACATATGGGTTGTGCGGCGGGAGCCAGCGGTGGGGCAAGGGGGTGGATGACGCAGCTGTGGGAAGTGGGTGCAGGATGCCAGAAGATCAATGATAGCCCTCCGATTTTTACGCGCCTCAACAAAAACCATGAAGCATCATACTGGCTTCATGGGTGCCTATGACAAGCTCGCCGTCAATAGAAAGGGGCTAAGCAAAGAACACTACTTTTTGGTAATGGCCATCAAAGACAAAAGTGTCAAAACGCACACGCCGAAATCCATCCGTCGGGTTGTTGATGTTTGAAATGCTGGGAGCTGCCTTAGACCCACCACGAAAGCGATCTCACCAAGGTTGGCGCAAGCCAGAGCCATGGCCTTCCGCGTGTCCGTGGGGCCTGCCACGGTGGAGTCTAAAGGCCCCAGACGGTTGGCGGCATGTTTTTTCCTTTCTTCTATTCCCAATAGGTTTCTTGGCCCACCAGTGATGCGCAATAGTCTGAACCCCGAACAAGCATGTGGCTTTATAATGGTGCTCTATATGTTCCAGCATTTTACAACGCACTAGGTTTGGCCTTAATGGCGGAACGTTGTTTTTTTCTCTCTTCCGCTAGCCAATGACTGTTATGCATTCGGAACGTTCTTTCCTCCTTGCAATGGTCTGTCATTGTGTCATTGAGGCACAACTTGTCGCCGATGAAATGTGAACGGTGTTGGTGGCTTCGTGTTCGACCCATTTCTTGACCTATTAGCCACACTGACAAACCCCCCTAGCATTTGGCGGAGTAGAAACCAACAAGACCACCTGGAGCGAGCTGGAGCGAGTTCCCTACGAACCTCTGGCACAGGCCCTTTGTGGCATTTGTTTACAGAGCAGCTGCTTGGCCAATCGTGGCGGCGAGAAGAACTCGGACCCTCCAACCACACCCTAGGCCCCCAAACACCCTAGGCCTCCAGTCGTACCTTCGGAGAAGGTGGGATTGGGGTGGGTGCCAGGAGGGTTATTTTAAGACTCTAAGTGAGTGGGTCATAGTCATAGTTTTTTGATCATGACATCACCCCCATCCTCCTTCTCTTCACGAAAGGTAGCCTCAGGCTACCTAAGCTCTCCTTGCTTTAGCAAAGATGTATTACAATCAGGACTTGGTGATGTGCCTAGAGTTTGGTCCTGTAAGAAGGGATTCTGTTCGACCCATGAAAAGGACGAGTCTTTTCAACACGACTGCCTTCAAGTTGCCAAGTAGACCGCCTGAAGTCGGGCTGACCTGGACTGGCATATATATTCTGGCATTCTATCTGGTTATGTTTTCTGATACTTTTTTTTCTGACATATAGTCTGATGATGTCTGATGGGTATCAATCTATTTCAGCCAAGTGGGCTGGGAGGCTCGAGGGATTGCCCACTTTATCGAGGACGTGCCGGTGTCCGAACTGGGTTCGCCACCAAGACCGAGCGGGCTGCTGCTTACCCCAAACTGCTCTGCGACGCCATTGCGAAGTTGGTCGTTGATGTATTCAAGAAATCGCTCGCCTTGGAGTTTTGGCGCTATCAGCTCAGGATGAAGGCGGCAGAGGTTTCAAGCCTGCAGCAAAAATGGCTCATCGAGATCAACGAAGAACGCAAACTTCGCGGCCTCTCCATCGCCGACACGAAAAGGGAGAAGCGTGACTTGGAAAGGTCCCTTGAGACCATGTGGAATGAGCAAGGGCTTCCAAGGTCTGCAGCGAAGATTTCGAAGAAGGAGCTTCGGGAGACAGAGAACGACATGTCGGTCGGCGGGATGAGAAACCCTGATCTTGCAGTAGAGCGGCTGACGCTAGTGCGGGAGACGGGAGCAAAGTTGAGAGCCGAGTGGGAGAAGATCTATGCGGAGGAGCCGGACTTTGCAGAAGGTGCAAGCGCTGGAAGGAAAGGCTTTTGGCTACACTCGGAGGCCCAGCGCAGATGGAAGGCATTCTACTGCGGGCGAACACAGAGTACAAGTCGCCATTAGATCTATGGCACGCTTGGCAGGTTGCTTCGAAGGACCCTGACCTTTGCCTCCAGCAATTCATCCGGGAAGGTGTTCCGCTGGGGATGTCTTCGAAAATTCCTCCATCTGGCGGAGTCTTTCCGCCGGCCCGGAACCAAGAGATCCAGTGCGTGGAAGCGCAGGTAGAGTTCGAGGAGTGCCAGAACATGGTGAATTACTCTTCGGTACAAGAGCACCCGCGAGAGGCTGAAGAGGAGATCTCGAGGTACAAGGCGAAGGGCTTTGTGAGGAGGATGCCATGGGCTGAAGCAAGGGATGCATACAGCATTGGTACAGTGTCAAAGCTCGCCCTGATTTTGAAACCAAAGGCGGACGGATCGGTCAAGAAAAGGATCGTCATAGACATGTTGCGAAGCGGAGGCAACAGTCGCGCCGATGCACCCGAGCGTATAGTGTTGCCAAGAGGGCTATGCGCAACATGGACGAAGCGGAGCCTGCAGTGTGTGAAGATCCTCAACGCGCGACAGAGTTCTGGACCTCACCGACGCCCTCTGTCATTTCACAGTGACGAGGGACGAACTGCATCTCCCCCGACGTCCGGGATGGACAGGCTTTGGTGTGGGTAGCCATGCTGTTCGGTTTCAAGGCAGCGCCGTTGTTGATGGGGCGGCTGAGCGCAGCTTTGGGCAGGTTGCTTCAAAGTATGGTCCAGCCGAACGAGTTGGTGATGCAGATCTACATCGACGACCTGCTGATCGCAATGCGAGGTCGCCCAGAAGAACGATGCAAGCTCCTTTCGATGTTCCTGTACACAATGCGAGCCCTGGGCATCATGATCTCGTTGGAGAAGGGAAGGGGCACGAGGGTGACTTGGATTGGCACACAGTTCGTGTTTGAGACCCGCAAGCCGGAGAATGGACGGCGCATCACGGTGGGCCTCCCCTTCAAGATGTGCAAAGAGGTGTATGACACCTTGGTGGAGTGGACGGGGAAAGGTATGATCGCTCTCAAGGAGCTGCGCGCCATCACGGGCCGCCTCCATCGTGGATGGCAGGCATCCTCCCCCGGCTGGACCACGTCAGTGTTCTATGCGGTCATCACGGACGCCATGCACGACATTGAGACGGGCCAGGAGCTTAAACGAGCAAAAGGTCGCGACGGTGATCAGAGGCCAAAGGTGGGGCTCGTGGCAGTGAAGCGGTTGGGAGCAGCCTTGAACTGGCTGATTGCAATGTTGGACACCAACGGCTTCAAGCTCCAAGCCCGGATCATGTGGCTGAAAGAAAAGCCGGCAGAGTGGGGTATCATCTCGGACGCTTCGCCGATGGGACTGGGAGCAATTCTTTGGAAGAAGGATGCCGAGACGGGCCGCATCCAGATCATCGAAGCATACGAGGCTCCGTTCACCCCGGAGGAGGCACAGTGGCTTAAAGTGGATCACGGACAGTTGTCCTGGCAGTGTGCGAGGCGTACGCCATCTTGCGAGCGGTGAAGCTGTGGCAACGTCGCATCCAGTGCAAAGGCCTGATACTGAAGTCGGACAGTTCAGTGGCCCTCGGCATCGCCAAGAAGCTGAGCAGCCCCTCACCGTCGCTGAACTACATCGCTGCGGAGCTGGTTCGGCAGATCGAGATCTACCACATCCCACGGACCTTCAACAAGGAAGCGGATTGGTTGTCTCGGCCACATGAACGGGGGGACATGCCGGAGACACTGCAAGGCATCCGGCTCAAGAAGCTCAAAGGCCAGGTGCTCGAAAGGAGCTCAGGATTTTGTACAATCCATGGGCCGGCTTGCCTCAGCGCCCCCGGAAACGTGTGGGAGTCGCCATGACGGCCCCAGCAATCCGGTCGGTCGACGTCCCCTTGGAGGGGACCCCGCTGCTGTGGCACGTCGTCCGCTGCACGCTTTTGGTATGGGGGGTAACCCTCATCTTGGCCTTCGCAGCGGGCTGGAGATCGTCAACATGGTGGCACGGGTCGCGGCGCAGCCAGCCGGAGGAGGTAGAGGGCGACGAGTCAGATCAGAACAGGAGGAGACAATGGCACAGCAGCGAAGACAGAGAGAGGAGACATCGTTCGAGGCGGAGCTCAAGCCCGAGAGTGAGGTCGGAGTCCCTGCATCGGCAGCCAGGGTTGGATCGACAACCCCGCAGGCCTTTACATGCACTATGCGGAGGTCCAGGCACAACTTCATCACCACCGAGGCCTCGCTCAGCGTCCGCGGATGCAGTAGCTGGGTCCCCAATTCGATCAGGGGGAATGACAACGTCAGAGGAGGCAACACCCGAGGCGGCAGTGGCAAGGAGATCCAGGAGCTCAACGACCGCGCAAAGCCGTCCAGAGTGGATGAGCGCAGTGACGGAAGAGGACACTTGGTCTCTGTCCAGCCGGAACGAGGGAGAGATTCTTGAGGATGAGGAGACCGGGAGGCGTGTTGGATCGTCGACCAGATGCTCGAGCACGCGATCGGCCATGACCATAGAGGACGTGGTGGCGAGAGCTCAATCGAAGAGTTGGATCAAAGCGACGGCGAACCGGTTCGTGATAAAGTTCCATGCGACGTCAACTTGGCTGAGTAAAAGGTCGAAGCGACGCAAGATCGGACAGCTGTTGAACGTGATCGGACTGGAGGGCCCGCCGGTTTCTGAGGAAGCACTAACACAAGTGTCGGCCTTATTGGATCAAACCAACATGCAGTCCGCGGACCAGTACGTGGCAGAGCTCAAGTTGTGGCATGTGGAGGCCGGCTTCCAGTGGACCGAGGCGCTGGAGAGAAGGCTCGTCCTGTGCAAGAAGGCATTGAAGAGGGACATAGGACCAGAGAAAAGAGCTCTGGAGGTGAGGCTGGACGAACTGGACGACTTGCTATGGGATGTGGAAAGCACGAAACCCTCCGAACCTATGAAAGTGGCATGGTCCTATGCGTAGGCGGCAGTTGTGAAAGCCAAGCACGTGTGCTTGAATTGGAAGAGGAAGGAGGTGCGGCTCTTCATCCCGAAGTCGAAGATGGACCAGCAGGCTAAGGGAGCATGGAGAACACTGCAATGCTGCGGGGAAAGACATTGCGACGTTTTGTGTCCGTGGAACCTAGCCATCAGGGCCCTCAGCTGCCTCAAGGACAAGGAAAGCCCCCTCTTCCCCACGTACACTGGCACCCAAGTCTCCAAAGAACAGTTGGTGAGAGCCTGGCAGAACAACCTCAACCCGAGGATGTCAGGGCTCTCGGCCAGGAGATCGGGGGCTATGATGTACACGAGGAAGGGACTGGGAATCTATGACATCTCGTTCCTGGGCAGGTGGAAGTCGTCAGCAGTGTTAAGATACATAGAGGACGCCCTGGAAGAGATGCCCTTGAACAGAGCCCGAGCAACAGACAGAGCAACAGCAGTATCGAAGGAGGTACTGCCCGTCCAGGCGAACATCGATGAGGTGAAACAGGAGAAGAAGAGAAAGAGATCTGAACAGCCTCACGAGGTACGGCCCGAGCCGGAGAATATCGCGAACCACATGCCCCTAGAACCGCCCATTGACAAGTCCCAGCTCTTTGCAGTGTCTACCTCAGCGAAAGGCAAGGTCAGGCACACAGTGGCCAACGCGGGGTGGGGTATTCCGCTGGACAAGTGGAAGACGACCTGCGGCTGGCCATTCGCCCGGTACCACGTGAGAGTGGAGCTCACCAAGTACAAGACGGGCAAAGCAAAAGAATGCATGAAGTGCAGAGACTTGGAAGCAGGGCGCGACAAAGTCAGAGGAGGTTGGAAGTTGGCGCAATCCATTGACCTGTAGAAGATGGGCAATGGGTGAGACAGGACGAGCAGCTACCCAAAGGCAAAAAGAGTTGCTGTCCTATACCTAGATCTTCAGTCCGGCACTTTTACAGGGTCCGGCGCCGGACTTCCAACTCCGGCGTTTTTCTGGATTTGGTCCGGCGCTTTTTCCAAGTCACTTTATGTGGATTCTCAAGGCTTTGCATTCTTTGTGGTTTGCATTTCTTTGAAGGTAAACCCACTACTGATGCATGCAATGATTTTGTTTGCAAAGTGTGCTCGTTTGCCTGTTCCGCTGTTTTCTCATTCCACCGGTTTCAGCATGGTTCACACTGGATCAATCAGATCCGTTTAGGTGATCTTCTAAATGAAATCGGATGAAGCCGGTACAGTGCGATGCACCTGTTGAAAGACCCAAGTGGGTGTACCTAAGCTGAAAGAGCATAGGCTCTAATGTACTCCCATTGTTTCAGGATGTCGGGGCGCTGGGATATAGTTCTAGCTGCGCAGGTTTGCAGAGCCTGCCGGACAAGTTTTGGGCTGTGGAACATGTGTTGTTCAGAATCTCAATGTTTTGCAGAGAGTTGTCAAAAAATGGCACGTCGTAACTCCGGCGTAATTTCCCGTAATTCCGGCGTAATTTCCCGTAACTCCGGCGTAATTTCCCGTAACTCCGGCATTTTTTTGGACTGAGTCTTCTGCAGGCTTTGATTGTGAACAGTTTTTCACAGAAGAGTTTTGACAGGAACCATGAGTTCAGTTCTGCTACTACTTTATTGGGGGGCCGTCCTGAGGCAAGCTTTAATGAAACATTAAGAAGCATAAGAATCATGGAGAGCAGCCCACTTTGTAAAAAAAACACTTTAGAGACACGGTTGCAGAGAAAGAGGGGTTCCTTGCCACATACTCCTTGGTTTTTTCTTGGAAGTCTTTGCTTGGGCACAAGTTGCTTATATTGTGTGATGGTTTTGCTCTTAGGCCATTCGGAAGATGGGCGAGGGCAATGGGAACGGGAAGGTTCGAGTGTGCTCCAGAAAAACTACTCGCAGCGCAAAGGCAGTTTCCTTGTGTATGATCCAACCTTTTATCATCTGTTTTTCAGAATCTTGGATCCGGATGTTTTTTCAGGTCTCCGGCGTTTTTTTCGGAATCCGGCGGAAAATTTTGCCGGATTGAGGTCCGGCACTTTTTT